GTGTAAATTCTTTCGCCCCAGCAATTCAGACAATATGATTTGGGCGTGGTGAAACTGCCCGTTTTTGGCCTCCCCCCCCTCGCGCGGTCCATCAACAAGGAATAGTAAGCAGCAAGAAGTCAACAAGGAACAGTAAGCAGCAAGAAGCAGAATTGTAGCACTGGAAACTGGAAGCTGCAACTGGCACAGGAAACAGCGAACCTCCGGCCTACAGCCTGGTGGCCCCACAAGGGGGCTGGCGGATTGTCTGCCCGCGCGAGTTCCTGACATCACCAGAAATGTATTCGATTTTAGCAATCTCGTCCAAATTCCCGCATTCTAATTTCACCACGCGGTGCGTAAGAAAACCATGCGGCCCACACCTGCGCACCGCCGCGCGCGCGTGTTTAAGCCCTTGCAGTACCAAAGGTGTTTGACGTATTTCAAGGTAGAGCTGTTCAAACACATGAGAGGACCTGGTGTTCATCAGCAGCAAACCTGCCAGATTTCTTGAGCTTCTGCGCGCAATTCATCACTGTTACCCTCATCAGCGCCATCGCATCACCGCCGTGATCATCATCATCAATCGCCGCCTCGGCCGCCGTCAACAACAATCATTCACCGTCATCACCGTCATCGCAGTCGTCACCGTCATGGACAGCATGATCGTCATCATTGTCACCAACACCGGCGCCAGCATCGATCTTGCCGTCGTCATAGTCACCATCATTACCACCATCGGTATCATCAGCATCGTCGATGTCTCCGATGTCGACATCATCATGATCAGAGTGAGGTGGCCGAACAGCCATTCACTGTCCCTGGGCGCGTGGCTGATGTGAGGTTCTGCGGTGGAGATTGTTCTTATTGTTGTCGTCGTAGTCGTCGTAGTCGTCGTCGTCGTCGTCGTCGTCGTCGTCATCGTCGTCGTCGTCGTCGTCGTCGTCGTCCCCCCCGCGATCCGGCCCGCGACCCACCCGCGACCCACCCGCGAGATCCACCCGCGACCCACCCAGCGACCCACCCCGCGACACATCCGCGACCCGCCCGCGACCTACCCGCGACCCACCCCGCGACCCACCCCTCGACCTGCCCGCGACTCGGTCCGCGACCCGCCCGCGACCCACCCCGCGACCCACCCCGCGACCCATCCGCGACCCGCCCGCGAACCACCCGCGACCCACCCGCGACCCGGCCCGTGTCCCATCCGCGACCCACCCCGCCACCCAGCCTGCCGACGTTCTCGCCTCCCCTCCCACTCTTATCCGCAACTGCGGGGTGCTACGTATCGCGCCCGCCCGAGTCACTGAAGTGCCCGCTCGCCAGCACTGCCTTTCAGACGCGGCGGGCGGTCCCCGTCGGTAAGCGCCATCACGGCCGCTCTGCGCGGGAGCTTGCGTGCTCCAGTGGAACCGCACACTTGTTTGTCGCAGCGCGGCAGAGGCGATCCGCACGCGCGCTCTAGTTGGCCGGGCTCGGGCACGCACCAAGTGTCCGGCAGCAGGAGAGGGGAAGGGGGCGGAGAGTTGGGAAAGGACCTTCGACTGGAGTGGCCGGGCTGAGGCTGCCTGGCAGCCTGTGCTGAGGCAGTCTGGCAGTGGTCGCGGAGCGGCATCATGGCCAAACTCAGGGGCTGAGGCAGAGGTTGCAAGCGCAGAAAGCGTAGATTCAGTCGTACTAGTACGGGAGGAGGACCGGCGAGCGAGTCCACGCAGGCGGGCGGCACGCAGGTGTTCGTCAGAAGGCCGTGGGTGACAGGCTTTGCCGCTAGCGCGGCCCAGCGAATGCGGGAAGGCCCAGGCGCCCACAGGGGCTGGGCCAGCGACCAGTTCGTGGCAGTGGTACAATAAAGCCAGGCTGAGCTGCTGAGAACAGGGCTGCAGGTTTGTGGCTGCGTTGCCAAGGGCAGAAATGCACCACCTGCCAGGGTCTGCTGAGCTGCGACCTCCTACGGATGAGGTGACGCAGCACGACGGGGTGCTGGCAGGGGCCATTGCGGCGCCCAGCAGCGTTGCTAGGGGTCTAGGGCAGCTGGGCATGCGAGAGGCTGCGGTTGGGGCCACGCGTAAGGGTTAGTGGCAACGGCGCCCACGCGGCGACCAGCAGGGCTGCCAGGAACCACGGCGTGGAGCCGCACACATTTGCCAGCCAGTGCCAAGGAGTCACCGCAACCGCAGCAGCATATGCTGTACAAGACATATTGCGGGTGGGAGCGCGGGATGCTTTCGCGAGTTGTGCAATTGTCGACGTCAGGTTTTGCATTGTGAATTCTTCTTCCAAAAAAAATAAATTCTACCCCCCCCGCTGGTTTATCGGTCCACTTTTTCGTATTGCAATTTATTATGGTTCTGCCTTATCGCCCATCCTAAATATGAATTCGTACCATCCCGGCGGAGCGGTATCGACCACCCCCCCGCCATCTGCTGCAAAACGTAGTATGCGCGCCCACTCGTTTATCACACATCAGCAGTTTTCAAGAATCCTTTGCAACAGAAGTTGACGAAGTGCGCACGCGTGCGTCGTCGCGCGCGCATGCTGAAATCCTTCAAACACTGTCGGTTCTGGAAGGGTTTCAACATCGAGCGTCCAACAAACGTAAACAAAAAAAAACGCACATCAGGTTTCGCAACACGGAGTTAAAAAAAACGTGCGCGCGGTATTGCATTTTTTGCTTAAGAAACCATAGATGTTTCAACAGTTTCATAAACAGCTGCTACCAAACGTGCTTCGCGCGCGCATGTCGAACTCGTTCGAACGCCCCTGCGCGCGTGCCGTCGCGAGAATCCAGTGCAACAAATGAGACGAAGTACACGCGCGCGCCGTCGCGCGCGCATGCCGCAATCCTTGAACATCCTTCGGCTTCGCAGCGATTTCAAAACCGAATGTCCAACACACATTCCGAACACACACACACACACACACGGTTTCGCAACATCAGTTTTCAAAGAAAGCTTGCGCGCCCGCTCATGCGAATTCTTGAGAAACCATAGGTTGTTCAACATCTTCATGGAATTCTGCCAAAAGGGCCTCAGGCGCCGCCTGCCGACATCATTCGCACGCCCTTGCGCGCGTGCTGGGGGGCACGGTCCGTGTCCAAGAAAATCATGCGGGCCACTTTCGCGCTTCGGCCGCACGCGCATGTCAAACTCTTTTCCAAAACCTTCATCGCCGACGCGAGGACGCTGTCATTGTCGTCGGCGTGATCAGCATCGGCGCTCGCACTGGCCGCGCCTTCGTCGTTGCGAGCATCGCCACCAGCATCGTTATCATCATCATCGCGTCTACCGTAGTCGGCGTTGCCATGTTATCGCGGACGCCCAAGTCGCCGTTCAGTGCCCGCTGGGATGCGCCCAGCGGTCAGCGTTACCGCGGCCGCGCCGGTGGCGCCAAACTGGCTGGCCGCTGCGCGCGCGTGCTACGGTTGGCGCGGCCGCAGAGGTGCACCAGCCAACGCCAAGCATGCATCGCAATCGCCGCCGCATGGGTTTTGCAAACCAAGTTGCGGGTGGGTGGGGGGGGATGTTTGCAAGAACATTGGATGTGTCAAACCGTTCATAAGAATCAGTTCTCTTTTCGTAAAACGTAGACTCTACCCACAGAGGGGTTAACGGTACACTTTTCCGTATTGCAATTTGCATATGATTGTGCACACTCGTCCATCCTAAATCTGAATTCGTATTTTCCCAGCCAGGCCAGTATCACCCCCACCCCCGCCATTCTCTGCAACACATGCTATGCGCGCAATCTCGTTTATCAGAAATCCTAAGTTTTCAAGAATCCTTCATGCGCGCGGCGTCGCGCGCGCATGCCTAAATCGGTCAAGAACCTTCGGTGTCGGAAGGATTTCAAAGTCGAGTTCCCCAAACATGCATGAACACAAGATTTCGCAACACTAGTTCCCGAAAAAAACTTACGCGCGTGCTCCTGCGAAATCTTTAAGCAACCATAGGTTTTCAAGCTTTTCAGAAAATGCTACCCAACGGGCTTCGCGTGCGCGCATGTCGAAATCTTTGGAACGCCCCTGCGCGCGTGCCGTCGCGAGAATCCTGTGCAAAAGCGGGACGAAGTGCAGACGCGCGCGTCGTCGCGCGCGCATGGCGAAATCCTTCAAAATTTCTTGGTTTCGGAAGGATGTCAAAATCGTGTGTCCAAGGAACACACAAAACATAAGGTTTCGCCAGTCGGACTTTCAACACAAGCGTGCGCACGCGTTCTTGCGTCGTCGTCGTCGGTGTCGTCGCCGTCCTCCCTCCTCCCTCGTCGTCGTCGTCGCCGTCGTCGTCCTCTGTCTTTCCTCGTCGTCGTCGTCGTTTTGGCGTCGTCGTTGTTTCCGTCGTCGTTGTCGCCGTGGTCGTCCTTCCTCCCTCGTCGCCGTCGTCGTCGTCGTCGTCGTTTTCCCTCCTCCCTCGTCGCCGTCGTCGTCGTCGTCGTCGTCGTCGTCGTCGTCTTCCCTCCTCCCTCGTCGTTGTCGTCGTCGACGTCGTCGTCCTCCCTCCTCCCTCGTCGTCGTCGTCGTCGTCTTCGTTGGCGTCGTCGTCGTCGCCGTCGTCGTCGGCGTCGTCGTCGTCGTCGACGGCGGCGTCGTCGTCGTCGTCGGCGTTATCATCGTCGTCGTCGTCAGCGTCGGCGTCGGCGTCGTCGTCGTTGGTGTTGTCGTCGTCGTCTTCGTTGTCGTCGTCGTCGACGTCGTCGGAGACGTCGTCGGTGTCGTCGTAGTCGTTGTCGGCGGCGTCGTCGTCGTCGTTGTCGCTGTCGTCGTCGGCGTCGGTGTCGTTGCCAAGTGCCATTTGGTACCCACCGTCACGGTCTTAAGAGGTCTTGCGGCCAAGTTGCGAGTGGGAAGGCGGGATGTGTGCACGAGCAGTGGAGAGGACAGCTTCAAGTTGAACAAGTGATTGATTGCACTCCATAGGTTGTGTAACATCGAGCGCGCATCGAAGTGCAAGGAGCCACTGTTTGTAGCCCGCGCCTGGGAACCTGGTTCGGGGTCAGGAGTTGGTGGATATTGTGCACGCCTGCAGGCACTTACGTTGTTCAGACGACCACAGAAACTACAAGCACTACGGCGACGACCACAGAGTCCTCCTCGACTGCGATCACGTCAACGTCCACTGAAGGAGATGCGGGCTACCATAGGCATACAGTTTCGGAGTTCCGCGCGGATCTCATGTATGGGGGTTGTATCCCCCTCCTTGGTGCGCGGAGCGCGTCAGGGGCGGCGCCGCCAAGGGCCCCCGGGCGCAAATCCAAAAGACCTGCGCGGACCTTCGGAAAATTATGTTTATGTTGGTTTGTTGTGTTGTTGCTTTGTGCTCCTCTATTTGCATGTTTGCATCTCACCTTTGATCCATGTCTGCATCCGTGTGTAGAGGACAGGGTCCTTGGCCCTGGACGCTCGTTTGTAGTAATGTTGTTGGCTCTGTCCTGCTCCGGCTGTTGAAGTTTTTTGACGCCAGCCAGTCGGTCGCTGCTCGTACGGCCAGAGACTCAGTACGGACTCCGGCATGGTCCAGTAGGGATAAGGAGGATGCCCAGATCTCCGACAGTACGTTTTCTCAATGCGGGAGGTTTTCCTCGTTATCTGCCTTTTGGGCCTGTTAATGAGTCTTGGCACGATAAAGCATGGATGGGACGAAAAACTACTCTGGAGCAGGGGCCGGGATTTTTGGGCCGCGAATTGATTTCATCGGATTGGAGCCGACCTGGCCGCGTCTCCGTCAGACTGTCTCGTTCTGCCTCCGGGCGGCACTCTCTCGCCTGTGACCCGTCCCGCATGCTCTGAGGGGCGGGTTACTTGTTCTGCTTGTTCGCTGCTCTCGCCCGCTGCCCTCCAAAGTTCGCGCATGCGCGGACGCGCGTAGCCGCGGAGCCCTGATTCCTGCACGCTGAGGAGTACTGACCGGTCTCCCTTTTGTCAGAGAGCCTCAGCTGCACAACCACACCGACCTTGGCCAGGCCGATCTTGGGCCCAGGATCGGTTTTGTATGAAGATTTAGATCCGTCTCTATACATTTCTAGAACGTACACACATGCATACATACAGTCAACCCGCATAGTAAGGATGGGTAACCTTCCCACGGTTGCCTTAGCATGCCATCCTTGGCCACTTTCGTGGGCCGCACCTCGCTCGAGAAGCTTCGAAATGGGCGTCCAAGGCCCATCCTTATCGCGCATCCCTATTATACGGGTTGACTGTACATGCTTATGTGTGTGTAGATAGCATGCCTTCCTGGCCAAGCGCAGATCCTGCAAGGATCGGTGCAGGTGTACAGCTAGCGTCCCCCATGCCATTTCGGGATCTCTCGACTGTGCGCCCAGCATCGCAGGCCTAGAGACTGACACCAACACCAACACCGGCGGTGTGCATCCACCGAGGGAAGAAGATCCCGATCTCGGTGATGGTGGTAATATTCTGGCTTCCAGGGTGACCGAAATATTTTCACCAACACCGAAATCTAGGATCACCTTCCCCCTGTGGAGGCAAACCCCTCCAACAGCAATCCCGTGCGCGCCCTCACACTTGCCCGCGGGCTTTGGGGGATCGGTCTCTGCACCTTATTCTTCGCCATTCTGTGGATCCCCGCCCCTTTTGGTGGACACTGTGCCGAGCACAGTCCTGGACCCGCGTGGGCGGCACGCCAACGGAGCACCCGAGCACGCGGGGACTGTGTCGTTCCACCCGCGGCGAGGAGGAGGAGGAGGAGGAGGAGGAGGAGGAGGAGAAGAAGGCGAAGGAGCCTAGCTAGCGGCCGCGCCTGACGCTAGCCGCGGCCGCTAGCAAGAACTGTGACGCTAGCCGCGGTCTGATCTCCGAACCCTCCAGCCCTGCTGTCTCTGGCTTGGGCAGAGCGATTCCCGGCGCTCTCGGGCTCCGCGGAGCAGGAGAGGACGAAGCAGTCATCTTTGCGTGTCGCACGATGCGTTCGGGCCTCTTTCGGGTAACATTCCTTCGAGGATCAGTGCCGTTTAGCCGACCCCAACCCGCATCCCCGCCCCCGTCCAGATCCCCACCATTTCAACACACCAGTTGGGGATACACCACCCGAAGCCAGAAGAGAACGGACCATATCCCCGTCCAGGTGGTAGTTCGGCCGGTGAGTGTCAGGCCACGCCTCTGGACACGGGTCGGTTGAGCGATGCTCAGATGACCTCGGCGCATCCCCAGAGTGATATCTTCAGTGGCGACGATAGGGAGGGGGGGGGCGAATCGCCCAGGAGAGAGCCATACATGTATTCAGGTGCGCCGATGATCGATGTCTTCGAAAAGGCTCCCAGGCGAATACGTGTAATGCCCGCCCCTGGGCTATTCGCCCCTTATCGCCGCCGCCGAATTATCCACGTGATTCTTCGACCCGCATATTTGGTTGTTCCGAATGGAGAAAAAATTGTGGCGCTTTCGCCAATGCAACGCCTCACGTCCACGTTGACGCTATTGCATTGCAGCGCGCGTCGTTCGATTGGCCAGGCGAAGCAAGAGCCAAACGCCACGTCAGAGGTGCAGGGGCGGCGCAGCTGCGTTTGTAACGTCCGATTTCGAGGTCACCTCGAAATCCCGAGGTCCCCACCGCAAGGTCTGGGGAGGTGTGCGACTCCTGGGTGCCCGAGACCTCGGCGCACGACCCCATTTCAAAACGTCCCTCGGAGCACGGCCACACATCTCGACACGGTGGCTCCCTCAATTTGATTGCTAGCCCTTCATCGGTCTTATGAAGACCTCCCAGCAGTTGCGCTTTAGTTCCTCAACAGCGTTTCGCTAGAAGGTTCATGGAGGCAGAACAAGCACAGAAGAGCCCCACAGGGAGGACAGGAAGCCCTATAGACCGCCCGGTCCGGCAGCCGTTCTTCCGGAGAGTTCCCACATGTTCGTCACGCATCTTCCTCTTCCCCCCTCCTTCGGCCGCCTCTACTGTCATGTCCCATTTTCTTTGCACTGTGGCACACTTCGCTGCAACGGTGCCCCCGTTTAGTTAGCTCTTCCGCCAGCGCAGCTACTCCGCCTAGCCGCCGACGCAACAAGTTTGTCAGGCATCGTGTTCTCGCCTCGATGCCGGATACACAATTGGTCCAGGTGCCATGCTCTTTTTTGTTTTGAGAAGTTGCGGTGCACACGGCCGTGCTGTCACCTCTGATCCCGCCCCACAGGACTACCAAGGGCGGCGCGCCTTTAGTTGCCGACCGCGTCAGCCTCGACCCGGCTCTTCACCCGTGTTGTTGATCCTGAACGTGACAACAGACGGGTAAGGCAGCTCGAAGTTCACTGCGCCTCAGCAGGGCTACTCCAGTCGCACGGTTCAGGGGCGAACAAGCCCAGCGAGACGCGTGCCTCGCCAGTCGGAGGATTGGGGAAGGGTAAGACTGTCTCCAGGAAAGGCGTTAGGGGACCTTTAGAACGGGATCTTTAGAACCGGACGGCGAGGAATGGACGGGGCTTTGGGAGGAGGGGAAGGGGCTTGGGGCTCGAAGACCTCTCAGCAGTTGCTACCTGGTTTTTCGTTGGTGCTCTTGCACGCACGGAGGACCTCCCTACTCGATTCTCGACGCGGGGTACACGTGCTACGACTTCGGCCTCAGCGACGTCGCGAGCTCCACGGCCTGCTCTACCGCCCCTTGCCTCCCCCACCCCGCCCTTCTCCGATCTGAGGAGCAACAGTTCATGATAATGATGCGTCCCAAGATTCCCCCGATTCTTTGGATTTTCCAAATGATAGCGAGGGAAGAGCCCAAACAGTAAATCATTGTACTGTGGTAAGCTATGTGGTGCAAGCTATGTGATGGAAGCGATATGGGGCAGCATGCGTCGTGCGAGCTAGACGCGGCCACCACGCGGCAACGGGCGACACTGTTGCGAAACCACGCCGGACCCACCCAGCGCACGAGGCGGCAACGAGGCGGCATCGGGCGGCAACGTGGCGAAGCCTTGCCAGCCCCAAGCAATTCTTTGGGAAGACAAGTAAGAACCCATATTTGCAAGCACTGTTTGGGGAGCTACTTGGATTCTTCACACGGGCTGCAGGAACGATGGCCGGTAGATAGTCTGCAACTCCTGGAACCTATGTTGAGCCAATCGTGCCATGACATGATTTCCCGTCCTGCCCGCGCGCTCCAGCTGCCCCCCTCTTCGCGAGCAGACAGCAGGACGGAGGGTTTTCCTTCCGCCTCGGCCTCCCAGGGCCCCCGCATCGAGGCAGGACGAGCCGCCCCGACCCCCAGCACTGGCGCTTTTGCGAAGCGCAGCCCTGGGCGCGGACTGCACGCCCCTGCCCTGCTCGACCTCCTCCGCCGGGTGCATCTGATAGAGGCATTCTGCCCTCCTCCTCCTCCTCCTCCTCCTCCCTCCTCCTCCTCCTCCTCCTCCTCCTCCTCCCCCTCCTCCTTCCCTCCCCCCTCCCCCTCCTCCTCCCCCTCCCCCTCCCCCTACTCCTCCTCCTCCCCCTCCTCCTCCTCCTTCTCCTCCTCCTTCTCCTCCTCCTCCTCCTCCTCCTCCTCCTCCTCCTCCTCCTCCCGAGCCTGCCCTTGTGGGAGCCTGGGCTGCCCCATCCGCTGCGCCTCGGGGTCCTATTGCTCCGAGGGCAGTGCTTCTGCCCTCCACCGCGGGGTCCAGGACCGTCGGAGAACGGCCCCGGGGGAAACGCAGGCACCGGGGAAGTTTTCGGGGGCGGCAAAGAGGGGGGTGATGACCAGGGGGGGGGGGATATCATGGCGGGAGCCAGGATAATTCCCCAGATTTCATGGCGCCTCTTCTTATTTCATTACGTCCCTGGTCCCCCCGCTGGGCCGCGCACATGCCGCCGGCCATGATTTGCACCCCCCCCCCTCTTGGGCACCCCCCTCTTGGCCGCTCCCGAAGTTTGGGAGCCTCGAGACGGGGGTCAACCTAGAGATCCAACGCATCGCAAAAAAACAAAACGGAGGTTTTCGGTTATACTCGGCCTCCAGGGGCTCTCGCCGGGACCCGAGACCGTCAACAAAACGACTCGGGATGAAAGGCCGGTTCCTGGGAATTGGTCGGGATTTCCTGGGACCCCTATTGACACCACCAGGAGACATATTCTCTACGCCTGAGCCCGCCCCACCCCGCGTTCCTCCTCCGCGGCCGCCCTCGTCTTTTCCCTGATTGCCTTGCGTGCCCTCAGCCCAGGGCGCAGCCCCGGCGGCTCTCCGAACGCGCTGGCGACTGGCGACCGCCCCCGCTGCTGACCAAGAAAGGGCCCGAATGGTCCTGCCGCCTTCCCTTGCCCCGGTTTGTTTGCGCCTGCGGGTCCGAGCTGCGTCCTCTCGATCGGATAGGCAGCGGAGGGGGGGCACAAGCCGCCAGATCGAGACAATCTCGACCTCGGCCGCGGGGAACAATGCACCCGATCAACGTGCTGCTGTGCTCCAGCTCCCTGGCCGCCAGAGCAGAGGCCCCCTCTGCCCTGGCGGCCAGGAGGGCGAGATGACAGAGCCGACTCGAGCGGCGGGGTGCCGTGCGCCCCCCTCGTGCGTGGCGCCTCCCCGCTCGGGCGCAGAGTCGAGGGCGGCGCACACCGCACGCTGCTTCGGGAGCTGACGCACTCCAGGCCTCCCAGATGGGTCGGAGGATCGCGCCGCATCGCCGATGCATCAACGATGCGGCTCGACGTGGAGCCCGTGTTTCCCCACGCCAGCGTCGCCGATGCATCGGCGATGTATCGGCGATGCGGCGCGATCCTTCGACCTCATCTACTCGGACCCCGTCTAGGAGGCCTCCAGGCACGGCGGCGCGCCGAGGGGGGGAAGGCAGAGGGGGCAGGCCTTCTCAGGTGGCGACGGGGCTTCTCGGAAGCCCTGCGTCCTTCCGAGAAGCCGTCCCTGTCTTCGGGGAAGGCCTCGAGAGCTTATATCGGAAGGGCAGAGGCCGCCCGAGCCGTCGGAGGAGGCCCGCCCCCTCCTGCCTTCCCCTGGGCGGCGCTCCGCCCTGTGGACGCTGGCGGGTCGCCTCCTCGTGCGGTGGCGAGCTGCCAGGGTCCTCCATCTGGCAGGTTTGTGCTGGCAGTGATTCGGGAGAGAGAAAACACACAGACACGCGTAACTATGGGAAGGGGGGGGGAAGATAGAAGGGGGGGAAAATAGAAGCCCAGAAGCTATGGGAAATATATGGGGATCCTGTTATTCGTATCTGCTGATTTGTGTGCCCCAGGGTTCCTTCAGTGATGGGTCTTTGGTTGTCCCCGTGCCGCCCTCTGGAGCCGGACCCGGGGCGACGACGGGCAGAGGCGTCCGGACAGCTTCGGGTCAGATCTGAGCTCAGGGCAGCCACGGGCACCGTCTGCAGGTGGTCGGTGGCAGGCAGTGGCGCGCTCGGACGGAGAAGCAACCGTGACACGCAGACGGGGGACAAAGGGAGGGTGGGAAAGAGGGAGAGCGAGAGAGAGAGAGAGAAAGAGAGAGTGAAAGAGAGAAACATACATACCAACACACACACATCAGATATAGGTATGTATGTATGTATGTATGTATGTATGTATGTATGTATGTATGTATGTATGGATGTATGTATGTATGTATGTATGTATGTATGTATGTATGTATGTATGTATGTATGTATGTATGTATGTATGTATGTATGTATGTATGTGTGTATGTATCTGAATGTATGTACATGTATGTATGTTTGTATACGTATAGTCGCGCACGCACAGAGTCGAAGACGCCTGATGACGGCGAGTCACCGCCGCCCCCTGCTTTTTGCGAAGCGCCTCTGTGGCGAGAGGTTGGCCCCAGCTCGGCCACAGAGAAGAAGAGAGCGAGAGAGCCGACGTGTGGCCGACGCTTGGCCAGGTTGTTGGACCATGCGTTCCCCCAGCCGCTGCGGAAGCTCTCCGGGGAAGACGTGGGGGAGGAAGAGGAGGATTAGGAGAGGGAGGAACAGGGAGGAGGACAACAATCAGGCGATCACAAACATGGATCAAGGGGGCGTGGATTAGCGACGGGCCCCGTTTCCATAGGGGAATCGCGGATTCCCGCCGCCGAGCGAGGCGGCACCGGCCGCATTTTGAGGAGGGCACTTCTCCCGATCCGTGGATTAGTCGACCGCGCGCCCAATCCATGGATCGCTAATCCATGTTTGCGCGCCCCCGAGAGAGGGAGGAACAGGGAGGTGGGCAACAATGACAGGGAGCCCACAAAGGGCGTACGCGCCCACCCACGTACATGAACACGGTCTCCCAATCCACAAGACTGGCCGCGTGATACGAGCGTTCGCGCAATGCGCACCCTCGGAACCAACGTGGATGCATGTACGTGTACGTCCTTCTTTCGCTAATTTTCGAATGAGGACATCCCATGGGAGCATCATGGGCCACCCAGCGTGCAACTTGGGCGAAATCCGTAACGACCCAGTCGAAGCAGTCTTGCCGCTCGCCGCCAGCGGCGCCCGGAGGCGGTGCGGGTGCTCCACCTGGAGAGCCGGCGCGGCGCTGACATCTCCAGCGGCGGCGCATGGCTCCGCGCCGAGGCTCGTCGCGTGGGCCCACTTGTGCTCTCCACGCTGCAGTGCCACAGCAAGCTGGTGCTGATGCTTTCTGGGCGTGCACCCACGCGGACATGGCAGAAGCGGTGGCCGGCGGCCAGTTCCCCAGCTTTCTTGCCGAAGGCATGGGCTCGGAATGTGGAGGACGGGTTCCAGCACTGTGCCCGCGCGCTGCATGGCCATCAGGCCCTCAGCGAGGAGGCGCAAGACGCCGTCTGTCAGCGACCCCGTTTCTTTGGTGGCCCATCCGTCCAGACCGCCCGCCCTGGCAGCAGGTCGGGCGGGGATCCAGAGTATCAGCGGTTTGTCAGGGCAGGACAGGGTTTGGCTGGCGCCAGGTCTGGAAGCTCCTGCTTGCACTCCGCCTTGAAGCCCTCCCGCGCTGGGACAGCTTCGTTAGCACGAGCATGGCTCTCGTGTCGGCCAGAATTTTGTTTTGTTTGTCCGGCGGGGAGGGGGCTGTTTCGGCCGCGTCGCTCCCCTTGTCCATGGCAGGGTCGAGCAGAGAGCGAGTGGCTTCGTCACCGCTGTGCGTCCAAGAGTCTGGTGGCTTCTTTTTGCGGGCCCGCCCCTGTGCGCGTGCCCGCCGGCGCGCGCGGGGGCCTCTGTGCGACGTGCGCAGGTAGACCGCCTTGGAGTTGTCGGCGGCGTTGACCCACTGGCTTTTCGCCCTCCCACCGCATCTGGCCCGCATTCCGCATCGACGCCCCTTGATGCGTTTGGCTCTGCCCTTCTGGCTGCCCCTTCAAGATTGTATCTCAGTGGAGGCAATGACTTTGCCCAGTTGCAGATCAGTCGGGAGCTCCTCCGGGTTCCAGACGGGTAGGAACTCCGCCTTGCTATTGGGTCGCTGCCTCTGTGCAATGATGTTGGCCGCGGTCCATGCGCGCTTAGTTTGCTCCCGCGTTTGCGGGTGGCTGGTGCCATGCGTGGCATGGTGCGCCTGTTAAGCTGACACTCGTGTTTTCATTGGACTTACTTGCCGCGAGAGCTTGTCAAGAGCTATGGCGGTGCATCTGGCCACGCCGTGCTCAGGGTGCATTGGCGGTGCTGCGTGGGCGTCTTGGAGGCGCGGTATTTTTCCGTGCGCGGTCGGGTCCTTGAGTTGGCTGTTTTGCGGAGCTCTGCGTGGAAGGCACAAGCCGCTTGGCTTGCCAGGTCAAATGGCTTTTCCACGTCGTTTGCCGCGTCCGCCTCATCCGCCCGCGTTCAGCTCGCCAGCTCGATGCGGTATTCCAGGGTTTGTTGTTCATCCTCGTCTATTGCTGGATAAGGTGGAGAATGCGCCGCAACGGTCTTCATTCTCTCAACTGGATGTTCAGCGACACCTATAGGGTACCTAGGCCGAGCGATACGAGGGGCCTAGGATGTTGCTTGGCGGGGAGATCTCACAGGAGGTCGAAGTTGGTGACGAGTTATCTCCTTTGATGATAGCGGAGGTTTCGTCAATGCGCGCCCCATCAGTGCCAGGTGATCTGCGGTCCCAGCCAAGATTTTGACCAAATGTGCAGGCTCGTCAACCCGTATGCCCCATTTCGACGTTTGTCCGCCCAAGGGTTAGGATGTGCGCGAGAAAGCGCAGAGTCCTCTCCGGGCGCCCATGCAGATGCAGTGCAGCGTATCCCCGACTTGTTTGCCGCGTTCCAGGCCCAGTGGAAGAGGGCCGTCGGAACCAGATTTGGAAACATGGGGGCAACACCGATGCCTTCCGTCGTCGAAATCATTTTGTCCTTTCCGCCTGGCGGCGATGGCCAGGGCAGGACTGGGGAGGCAGCCTTCCGCCAATTGGTGGTCGCAAGGAGGGCAGTGTCGGATGGGCCATTTCTCGCAGTATTGAAGATGGCTCTTTCGGTCGCACTGCATGCGCCACCGTTCTTGGCTGCTGTGGGGCGCATCCTGTGGTCAATGCCTCTCCGTGGCCCTTTCGGTGTATGTGGTCATCAGCAGGGCTGCGTCCCAGGACATGTCGCCAGGTTCTAGTCTCTGGTGAGTGGATGTTCCTGTCGGAGGCGTGGATCGAGGCGATCGGCAGGATGGCAGGTTTTCTGGAATGCAAGGATGGTAGCCCCGTGGTGTTCTCGGAGCGTGGTGAGGACATTCCAGTTGACATCCAGGGAAGTGACGATGGCAAAGAGAAGGGGAAAGAGAGAACAGGAGGGATAGAACAAATAGATATGTGTGCGTGCCAATGTGTGTTCACACATACATATGTTATCCGAATCGACGAGGCGGCGACGAGGCGACGTCGGGGCGGTGACGGCGGCAACGTAGCGGCTAGATCGTATCGACACACGTGCCCAGACGACGGGCGACGACGGGGCGGCGATGGCGGCAACATCGCCACCAAACCGAAGACACGGTTCAGACGACGGGCAGCGACGAAGCGGCGACCGGGCGGCGCAGCAGCCACATAGCCGGCAGACCAAAGACACGATCCAGTTCCGTAGAAGAGAGGTAAAACTATTCATTCGATGCAAGTGGCCATTGGGGACAATTTATACATGCATGTCCAGAGAGGAAGCAGTAGTTAGCTTTCTGTATATGTATGTGTTTATATATACTTACTCATGTTTTGCAGACACATATCCATGGACATGGACACCGATGCAAACACATGAACATACGATGATAAACATATACAAGAGTGGGTTTGAGGCAGCAAGAGAGAGAGAGAGAGACGTATATTGAGAGCCACTGAGGTTGAGAGACAGAGAGACAGAGAACTATAGAGAGATAGAGGGGGACAGGCAGACAGACTGACAGACAGACATAGAGACAGAAAGAGAGAGAGAGAGAGACAGAGAGAGAGAGAGGCAGACAAAGGTTGGGATCTCCAGGCCGAAAGCAGAAACAAACTCCACGACCGAAAGCCATCGTATCGTCGGAGGTCGGGGTCCCCCAGGCGCCTCCACAGAGAAAAAAGAGAGAGAGAGAGAGAGAGAGAGAGCCCGCGAGAGGAGTGCTTTGGCCTCGCGATGAGCACAGTCGGGAAGGCCGGTTCGAGCACCCAGACCATCCCAGGCCTCGCGCCCCGCGCCAGAGCGCCGGCCCTACGCGTGAGTCACGGAGGATGAGAGGAGGAGGAAGAGAAAGAGGAGGAGGAGTAGGAGGAGGATAAGGAAAAGGAGGAAGGGGAGGGGGATGGAGGGGGAAGGGGGGTGGGGAGGAGGAGGAGGAGGAGGAGGAGGAGGAGGAGGAGGAGGAGGAGGAGGTGGAGGGGCGACGACGATGGCGACGACGAGGGGGAGAACGATTAGGGGGAAGGCGGAGACGAGCAGAGGATGACGAAGTCGAGCTGGAGGGCGATGACGAAAAAAGGGGCGAGGAGGAGGATCGGTAGCCTTTCGAACGGTTTTGTGGATTTCAGACGTGTTCGAACGTTGCCGGAATATTTCGGATGATTTGGAGTTGCCTCGAGGTTTTGCAAAAGGCTTTCAGAGGGGGGCGGGAGGGAGGGGGAGGAGGAGGAGGAGGAGGAGGAGGAGGAGGAGGAGGAGGAGGAGGAGGAGGAGAAGTGAGGACGAGGACAAGGAGGCATGGAGAAGGAGGAGGAGGAGGGAGGAGGAGTGATGAGGAGAAGGAGGAGGAGGACGAGGAAATGAAGGAGGAGGCGGAGGAGAAGGAGGAGGAGGAGGAGGAGGAGTTGGAGTTGGATGAGGATGAGGAGGAGGAGAAGGAGGAGGAGGAGGAGGAGGAGGAGGAAGAGGAGGAGGAGGAGGAGGAGGAGGAGGAGGAAGGTCCGTTTGGCGTCAGGCTGAGCAGGTGACGGGCGTCGGGCCGCCGACCCCAGCGGCTCGTCGGGAGCCCCCGCCTGCTGCTACCCTCGACGACGCCGCATTCTCCCCTGAGGCCGTGACTATCCGTGCCCATGCCTATGCCGGCAGCCACCCAGGGTTCTACTTCGGGCTCGCGCACGGTGTGCTGGGCTATCATCGTGGTCATGGCGGTGCTGTTCCGCCGGCGCCTGGTGCTGCCGATGCCCTGGCACCGCCCGCCGCGGAGGTGCGCGTGGTCTCGCTTGCAGCGCTTCTTGGCTGGCAGCCCCCAGCTGCCGGTGGCCCCCACCGCCGGGCGCGGCGGCGTCGTGCTCCTGACGGTCGTCGCGTCCGCCCTGCACATCGTAACGCTGCTCTTGGCGACGACCGGCCGCAGCCCGCTGCCCAGGTGGCTGTGGGGAGCGTGCACTTGCGGGCCTCCGGCGTGTGGACCATCGACACGGCCAACGCGAACTGCTGGGACACGTGCCTAGCCCAGGTCATCCCGAGAACGTCCGCCGACGCGCTCTTGCTTCAGGAGCACAAAATCCACTCCGAGCTCAGGCTCGCCGCAGCTGCACGGACGGCCAAACAGGCTGGGTGGAGATCGCATCTCGGCGTTGCGCACTCCACTGCCTGCGACCGAGCTTCTGGTGGAGTGGGCGTACTCTGCCGACGCCGCTTCGGCATGCATCCGCACGCTGATTTGGTTTCAGATGGCATGCACCATCGCCTGCAGGCGGCCCATCTGGGCGCTGTCCTGAAAAGCGGGATCCACTTGTGCAGCATCTGGTTGTTCCACAGCCAGGGCATCTCGGAGTCCAACCTGCACGTCCTTGCCGAGGCTGCCGCGCTGCTGGGTACGCTGTCTGGCCCATGGGTGATCGCAGGCGACGCCGCAGATGCTCACCGACACTGGATGGCTCGACGTCGTTCGGGGCCGCATCGTCTCCCCGGCCATCCCCACGTGCAACGGCTCCACGTACGACTTCTTCGTCGTCAGCCACAGCATTGCGCATGCAGTGCTAGGTATCAGCCGGATCGACGATGGCGGGTTCACCCCCCATTTCCCTGCCAGGCTGTATTTGGCTGGCGATGCGCGCCGCAAGGCAGTCCGCCGTTTGGTTCGCCCACGGCGCGTCGATGGGGAGCTACCTCAGGGGCCGCTGCTGCCACCTGCCCCCGGCGACTGGGATCCCAGCCCCATCGTGGACGTGGCGCAGCTGGAGGCCGCCATCGACACCTGGTACCGCGCGGCTCGCGGCACGTTCACCCTCTTGACCGGGGTGCCGGCGCCGTGGTTTCGGCCATACTTCCGCTGGGACCCAGCTGCTGGACGCCCCGCCTTGCGGCGCGCCGGCGCATCCTTCATCGCCGTAGCATGGCGGGATTGTTCGGCTCGGGCCTACGAGACCGCTGCCATCCTCGGGCGGCCGCAACCCGCCGCCCGCGACGAGCTCGTCCTCGCTCGCCACTGGTCCCGGGTGCGGGCTACAGCGCAAAGGGCTGCTCGAGCTCCCGGCGATTCCCTGGACGGCTTCCGCGCCTGGGCGGCCGCCTTCGGCCACGCAAGGATGACCCGCGGGGTCTCCGCCGTGCGGTCACTGGCTGCCAAGGCGGCGCGGCACGCTCAGCGGATCGAGGCTGCCGTGGCAGCTGCGCGTCTGGCCGCGTACCGTAGCGCTTTGGCGTCGCCTGGCGGGACTCGCTCGGCGCGCACCTCAGCGTCCGCTCCCGGGCGCTTGGCCTTCCGGTGTGTCCGGGGCATTGGCGGCTGGGCCCGCTCGCCCGCTGGCGACCCCCGATGCGAGGAGGACGTCCCCGATGCAGACCCCCTGGAGTACGACGACTTTGATGCCGGCCGCGTCGAGGTCTCGCTGGAGGACGGCCGCGCCCGGGCCGCCGCGGCGCCGCTGTCTGAGCAGGCGGCCCTCGACCGCGAAGCTCGTGGCTGGGCTGACCAGTGGGCCGTCGGGGAGGAGTACCTCGAGCCGCACTTCCCCGCCCACCTGCTCACGGAGCCGCAGCCGCTTACAGCGTGGAGCCTTGACCATGCCATCGCGTCCTTCCCCATCGGGACGGGCCTCGGGGCTGATCACGTGGCTCCGCGGGCGATCCTGCGCCTCCCCAGCGCGGCACGCCTCCGGCTGTGCAGCATCTTACTCGCTGCGGAGCGCCTCGGCTGCTGGACCGCCGCGTGCAACCTGGTGCTGATCGTACTGCTGCCCAAACCGGATGGCGGCCTGAGGCCCATTGGCCTTTTTCCGACGCCCATCCGCATTTGGATGCGCGCGCGTGCCACCGCGGCCCGCGCCTGGGAGGCGGCACGCGCGCTTCCGTCGGTGTTCGGCTGCGCTGGGCGCGGCGCACAGCGCGCGGCCTGGGCGGCGGCCTTCGCTGCCGAGGCTTCGGCGGCCTCGGCGCGCCACCACGTCGCCTCCCTGCTCGACCTCGTCAAGGCTTTCGAGCGGGTCCCGCGCGACCTCGTGGCTGCTGCCGCCGTGAGGTTGGACTTCGACCTGGTGGTGCTGTGGCTGCCCCTGGCGGCCTACCGGCTGGCGCGGGCAATCGGCGTTGAGGGCACTTTCTCTTGCCTGCTCGTCGCCACTCGCGGCATCACGGCCGGCTCGGGGTTTGCCACGGTCGAGCTCCAGATGCTGCTGCACGAGACGATGCTCATTGCGACGTTCCGTTGGCCCTTGCTGCAGTTGTTCCTGTACGTGGACGACTTGACCATCACCACTTCCGGCGTCTCCGAGGAGGCCCTCGTAGCGGTGTCTCGCGGCGCGGAGTTCTTCGTCGACACATTCGAGAAGTGCCTCCGGTTGACAGTCTCGCCGAAGAAGTCTTTCGCGGTCGCGTCGAGGCCGCGCCTGGCGGCCCGTTTGTCCCTCATGTCCAAACGGAGGCTGCTGGTGCCGAAGCGCAGCGTGAAGCTGCTGGGGACGCCCTACGCTGGCGGCCGCTCGCGGGCAGTGGGCGTCTTGCGGTGCCGCCTGAAGGAGTTCAAAACGCGCATCCCGAGGATACATGCTCTCCGGCGCCAGCGTGTCGACGTTGCTCAAGTCGTAAAGGCGATGGGCAGCCCTAGCATGTTGCACGGCGTGGATATCGTCGGCGCCTCCATCGCGCACCTGCACAGCGTCTGGGCCGCTGCGCTCAAGGCGGTGCTGCCGCCAGGTGCCAGCCGGAACGTCGACGTGAGCTTCGCGGTGCTGGATGCCGGGGGGGCCTGTCTGGACCCCGCCCACGCTGCGCACGCCACCCAATTGCGCCATTGGGGCATGGCCTAATGGCAGGCTTGGGCGCCCGCGGAGGAGCTCGACGCCGTCTTCGTGCAGGCCCGGGATCGCTTGGCGAACCTTCTGGCGACCGGCCGTTCGCTGTGGTCCGCCGTCGCTGGCCCTGTGGCGGGCGTCATCGCCACCGCCTGGCGCCTGGGGTGGACGTGCCCCGCGCCGAGACGTTTTGAAGACGACCTCGGCGAGCCCGTCGACTTCCTTTCCATGTCCCCCGCGATGGTGGCGGCCGCGGTGCAAAGATCGGTTGGCCGTTGGCGCACGCGGCGGGTGGTGTCGACGCTCCCTACCCTCGTCAGTGGCGCTCCTGACATGCCTCTGGTCCAGGGCGCCGGCACAGTCACTGTCCTCGTGGGCCGCCCCCTCGCTGCCCTGATCAAGGGCCGAGGGCGCCCAGGCAGCACGGTGCCGCAGTGGTTCGCGCCTTGTCGCTCCCAGCTCCTGTCCGTCGCCACGGGGGGGCAATGGCCGCAGGTGCGTCTGGCCAAGCTGCGGGGTGCCGGTGTCGCGGACAAGGCCTGCCAACTCTGCGGGGTCACGCCCGGCACCCTCTTGCATCGCCGTGTTTGCGAGGCCTCGTTGCCCCCGGACGGGTGGCCGGAACCGCCGGAGGTATGTGGGCGCCTACTCTCGGCGTTGTCGGACGCCCGCCTCGCGCTGCTCCGGACCCGCGGGCTTCTTGCACTTCGGCTGCCGCGCCCGCTGCCGCAAGAGTAAATGGCAGTCCGCTGGTTCACGGACCCGCCAGACGCGACTCGTACCGATCTGTGCTGGTACACGGACGGGTCATTGAAGTTTGGCCCTCTTTGGGATTTCTGGGGTACGGGATGCGCCTTGGTCGTCGTGTCAGAGGCTGGGGACCTCGTGGCATACGGCTCCGCCGTGCCTCCGCCCTGGATTCGCACGGCCGCGGCTGCAGAGCTTT